TGACATTCTTGGTTACCTGTCAAACAACACGTTGAACTAATAAAAGTCAGGAATGACACAGAATCAACCATGTTTTACAATTCCTTAAATTATTTCTGTACAGTTCAATTGACAAGCGCACAGGGATATACATGAACTTTTGTGGTTATCTTTATTGTTTGTGGAGGTTATTTGTTTCATTAACCTACCATGGGCTGTTTATATTTTGACGAACTCCATAGGCAAGTGCAAATGTTTTGACGAAAGTGGGAATCGAACTTGGTTGTTTCGAATCTCCTACGTTTCTACCGGCAGCGTTACATACCTGTTACTAAAACTGGCGAAATACATACTATTTACGTGAAGCAACACAATATCACAGATGTTTAAAGTAATTTCTGAATATATCATTAATTTCCACTTAGTTTACTTTTCGAAGGCAGTAAAGTCTGAGTAGATGTACTGCTGCAATAATATTAGGTGTCAAATTAAAATATGTTATAAAATGAGGGTCACAAAAAACTATACCTCAGTTGATTTTATCATATGATTGATTTTCAATTGAAAATCTCGTCAGATAGCGATGTTATATAAAGAAATTAACTGTACTGACGCTAAGTTGGCACTCAAAGAATACTTTAAAAAGGTTTTATTTAAAAAAAATATGATATGACTTAAAACGTTTAAATATTAAAAGCAATTCATATAATACAGTGCTAACTGGTATCCTGTTTTAGGTACCCAAAAACAACATTTAAAACATGGTATGGGTCATGTGGTTGCAAGTTCATTTCTAGCCCAAGTCTTCACTGAACCAATTTATTTTAGCCCAATTTATTTTGGCCCATCCACAGAGTGCGTTTTACAAACAGTTTCAGGAAAGAGTGATAGTAAAATAGACATAATCAAATGTAGCAACAGTTTTCAATGACATAAAAGACAAACTCGGAATACTTTCTTTTAACCTTCAGTTTCTGTCCAGCTTAAACCAGTGTTTGCTTTAAACTCTCTCTCTCTCTCTCTCTCTCTCTCTCTCTCTCTCTCTCTCTCTCTCTCTCTGCGCACACAACACAATTGTGGGGCATATATTGGATGAGTATAATAAATCGTATATTAGGACGTTCCTACTAAGACATTAATATTTGAAAAGAGTAAAACTTTCAGAAAAATGTTACTTCTTTTCTATATGTGTTCCGTACAACGTAATTGTTCATCATATATACACCTAAAACCTTCCAGCAAATAAGAAAACGTGGAAAAAGTGGATGAAAGATTAAACAAAAAACTGTGTGTCTAAAACTATGATGGACACATTCCGAAATGGTCATGGAGGAATCAACATCTCAGGGTCACAGGTAAACGTGATTACAATGATTCCTGCAAGTAGTTTGGTCAGTTCCATAAGGCGATAGACATACCGTTTTTAGTGTAGAGCTACGTTACCTGTAGATGGAACCACGCTAAATTGAATTTCGAACCGAACGCACCCCAAACTCCCTTAGCCTGCTAAAACACAAGTTACTTACAACATTCGCACCCAAACCTACGACACCACCAATCACACAGCGCACAAATAATACAACCGCAGTCACTCACGCCAAATCAACCCAAACTTGGCTAAGAGCTACCCACCTCTCCCAACCCACCAACCCACCAACCCACCAACCCCCACCCATCCACACACACACAAACTAACACACACACTAACACACACACACACACTAACACACACACACACACACACACACACACACACACACACACACACACACACACACCGAACACCCTCCACTACAAAATCAACTCCCCACCCAGTCTACTCTCACCCAGCTTCCAAAGTGTCCTATGCCAAGAGCAGAGCTCCGACTGTGCAGGGACTTTCAGGCGTGCCAGAAACGTATGATGGTGGGTTCGTCATTTTGATAATTTTTGGGTTGCATGACCATACCACTCTCAGTAAATCAATTTGGGAAGTATTTGATAATCCCTTGAGAAGCGATAACCCCCCATATCTACAAAGGCCAACATTGGCACAATCTCATTTCAGGAACAAAGTAACTGTACGAAAATGTATGAAAATCTAACCCCTGAAGATTAGGGAAATGCTTATTGACCAAAACGACCTCACCCAAATTATAAAGTGAGATTCTGATTTTCGTATAAAAACAAACACCGCAAGCGAAACCTTCAAATAAGGATGAAGAGACAAAACAACATCCTTTAGATTTCAACTGGCCATTTCAACGATTAGGGGCCAGGTCCTCGTGAACTAACCTACACGTAGCATACACGTACAAATATTGTAGTTAGGATGAAGACAATGTCAACCCAGACCGCCCACATCCATAATCTGATGCAACCAAATCGATGGTACAGGGAAACAACACCAACACATCGTGCATCGAGCCAACATCAAATCTACGCGTCGTGTTTAGCCCAGCTGGTAATTTCACATTGCCCACATTTTGCAATTTGGAATATTTCCTGTTTCAAATACATACAATTGAATGAAATGTGAGATCCTACCATGTGTATAGATATTTCTTGTGTACAGCACATTCACCATGTGCACTCAAAAGAATCCACTCGTCCGATGGTAGATGATCAGAGGGTGGAAAAAACAAATATATGTAGGTACATTTCCTCAAAACACACGTGTCAAAACATGTGTTGACATCCTTGGCAAGTGACTTAGTTCAAATGTGCCCCTGTTCACCCAGCAGGAAATGGGTACCCGATATGTGAGGTGGATGTAAACACTCTCCAGCGCCCGTAGGCAGCTTTAGTTGTATACTTGAGTTGAGAATGGAATGCAAATAGACCAACTGGACGGGGAACAAATAAAACGCATTTGAGCAGATACTAGTACCTGGATACGTTTGGAATAAAATAATAATAATAATAATAATAATAATAATAATAATAATAATAATAATAACAGAAACCGTCAATACGATTTTGCATCAAAATGTAAATATGAAATGTAGATTATGTCATGAATTTAATGAGACTGTCCAACACATTGTCAGTGGATGCCCAGCTTTGGCACAAACACAGTCTCTTAAACGACATGATGGCATAGCTCGATCATTTTAGTACCGTCTTCGCCATGCTTGTGGTTTTGACACAGAGGTCCATCCATGGTACGACCCAGAATATGTAGAGGACGTCATGGTAAATGATTAATACAAAAATTCCTTGCGTGTATACAAAATTCTTTGGAATAGGCCCATTTACAGCCTCAGACATATCCAGGCCAACAAACCTGATCTTGTCCTTTTTGATAAATCCAATGAAATCATTTATATCATTGGATTTTCTGTCCCCTTTGACACTAATGTGATTGACAAGATTGAGGAAAGATATGGCAAATATGCGGACCTCGCTTTTTAAATATCACGCTTGCATCCCAAGTACCAAGTTATCCGACACCCCATTGTTCTCGGTGCCTTAGGTTTGGTACCTCCCAATCTGTTGACTGACATTGGGAGAGTACCCGGGTTTTCTTCCAGGAATACAGCCCTTTTGACAATCTGGGTAATGCAGAAGGCTGCAGTGTTGGGGAGGCTTCACATTCTCCGAAACGTTCTGGGTGGTTTTGACTAGGCAGCGCTTTCTGGGAGGGGTCCCAATCGATGTCTTGGCTGCATGTAGAGGGGGCAAGGGCCCTAAGCTGATGATGAGCCTAACCAGCCATACTGTGCCAGGATCACCCAAACCCTCTTTGCTGCATTTTTTAATATTTTAATCTGTAAATTATAATAATAATAATAATAATAATAATAATAATAATAATAATAATAAAACCTTATCTTGTCCTTTTTGATAAATCCCATGAAATCATTTATATCATTGAGTTATCTGTCCCTTTTGACACTAACGTGACTGACAAGATTCAGAAATAAACATTGCAAATATGTGGACCTCGCTTTCGAAATGTCACGCTTGCATCCAAAGTACCAAGATGTTCGACTCCCCATTGTTCTCGGTGCCTTAGGTTTGGTACCTCCCAATCTGTTGACTGACATTGAGAGAGTAAACGGGTTTGCTGGGCTGCGTGTTGAAGGGGCAAGGGCTCTGAGCTGATGATGAGCCTAACCAGCCTGACTGTGCCAGGATCACTCAAATGTGAACAATTGCAGTATACTCTTGTCGCCATATTGTTGCCACATATCTACATAAATTCCCAAACAGAAATCATCTTTGTTCAAAGACTTGTTCATCTTAAAAATATTAGAATATCAAACATGATGTTAAAGTTTGGGAGTTACGATCACCTTTGTGACACGATAGCTTTGTGGAACGAACTCCTGAATTGTAAAGGTAGCCCGTTGTGTGATATTAAATCTATACGTGTCAACTTTTAATGTGTTTGAAGCATTGTCCTGTTAATTTCAATGGATTATGTTTTGAATCGCGTAATTGTCTGCATATTCACACACAACAGTGAAATTTTCTTTTAAAAGTGTAACAAAACTGCAAGTAATGAATATAATACTAAACTCGTTATTTTTCTGGCATCTGACTCGCGTTTGATCGTCAGATACTAGAACTATTCACTCGATTCATAAAAGTTGTGTTACACGTGAGAGAGTTTAGTATTCTAAATTTCTACATGGATATGATTTGAAGAAGAGGAAATAGCATTATTATCATTTACATTGATGTTTTCGGAAAGAACACTGAAAATAACAATAACATTTGTAAATACAATAAATGCATTTTGCTCTGTGGAATATAAAATGCATAGTTGTGCATTGTTATACATTTGAAACCGCATTTAACTCAGGTATACATATCCTATAAAATATTATCAGTTGAGAAACTACCATACACTATATTCCGAGAGTATGTTTGATCGACATAGAACCAGCATTTTCTGCCGTGAACAATGTGCCTACGTATAATCACACATGTTGCCGAGTTCTTTCACAAAACAACGCACCAAACACAATGACGTTTAGAACCCCATGACGAGGCAATGTACACGTGTATGAAGCACGTATGTTCTCCATCTCCTGCACAGTCAGAGATCAGATAAAAAAGACAACCTTATTCAAATCCGCAGAGGTCATAGAAACAGGTATATATACACGTGTAGATTTGTGAAACGTTGCATTTGATGTTGTTTGGCTACGAGTGTTTTGTCTGACGTAAGTTGAACTTGTTTTACTTCTTATATACTTATATACTCTTCTGCAAATAGTTTGCGTTATTTTGTTTGTAATCTTGTACATTGAGCTCATTTTATACCTCTTTATCGAATATTGCAAATGCATCATCTTAACTGTTCACACGGTGTGAATATTTGCGTTTCTGATTACTTTTTGTAAGGTACTGTGGGGCTGTTTAGTGGTTAGTGCTTTTGCTCGTCACATAGAGGGGCCTGGTTCGAGTCATAATGTTGTCATAATATAAGGTATATGTATATACATGTACAAGTGCACCATCCACACACGTATTGGTGTTTTTAACATCGCATGACACAATTCTCCTGACCATAATCTTTATTTGTTCACTAAGGAATGAAATTGCGTATGTGGATAATATGAAACGGGAAAGCTTTTACAGAAACTCAAAAGTTATTTTCCGCATACCAAATGTTTAATGGATTACCTAGTACATGTTACAACTAATGCCTAATCGAGGTATCTACATCCGTGATTAAAACAAATTGTGGTTTTGTCACATCCTATTACTCCGTTTTTGTCCATATGTGTGTGTATATTTCAATACAACGTCAAAAGTTGAGAATGATCAGTCAGAGAAGCTTGTCTTGAACAACCCCTTTTAGGTTTCCATCGATATTTAAAATGCTGTCATATGCTATATAATCAATCTGTCTGACATTAAGCAGGAATAGGAACGATTAATGCCACGCACGTAGTTACTAAGCTGGAGTCAACACTGTTCATATTAATGTCTGCATGACACCGTCTCAGCTCTCTTCTGTATATTTCTCATTAGGCTGTGTCATGTGTTCATCTATAACTAGTACCCACTACCGGTACCCTTTCGCCTGTTAGTTCTTACATGGGCATATATGTGCCAACATGCAATGTTATATCATCACGAAAAGGAGTTTGATATTTCATTATTTTGTGCAGCTACGTTTTACATGTAACGCGCATTCGATGCTTCTTTTCACGTAAGTCCAGCAGGGATGAAACGTACCGCTACTAGCATAGAGCTGTGCCAAGAAATATTTTCTTGTTTTCGAGTCATATATTGTCCATTGTCCTTAGGGGCGGACGGGTAGCTTTGTAGTTAAAGCGTTAGCTCGTCAAGCCGAAGACCCGGGTTCGATTCCCGACATGGGTACAATGTGTGAAGCCCATTTTCGGTGTCCCCCACCGTGATATTGCTGGTATATCGCTAAAAGCGGCCTAACAACACACTCACTCACTCACCCACTCACTCACTCACTCACTCACTCACTTGACTCCCCTTGACAAGACCCTGAGCATATGTGCCTAAAGAGGGACTAAGTTTGAGCAAAGTCGCACATCCCAATGTATCTTTCATATGTGTTTGAAAACCTTCAGTTACAACAAAACAGTTTGTCATACTTCAATTGCACAGAGGCAATTTATTATATACAGTACTTCAGAGTGAACGACTGTGATATTACACTGCTGTGAACATAACACTTGATATTACACTGCCGTGAACATAACGCTTGATATTACACTGCAGTGAACATAGCATTTGATATCATATAATGGGTAGGTTTCTCGGCAGGATAAAGCCAACGGATAAAAACGATATCCGTTGGGGTCATATGCGGATAGAGATGCAAATATCAAAGGTCAAGTAGGACTACTTTCGCTGTTTATAAACAAATATGGCGTCCCCCTCGTCATTCGGCGATCGAGTCAGAATTAACCATCGGGAATCTGGATCAACTACAGGGATAATTGCTATCATTATGAAAAGAACAGTCTAACATACTGAAAGTCAGTGTCTAACTCTGACGTAGCTAAGGCATTTTATAAGTTTTGGCAACTTTGGAGATACAAATTTCGAAAAAATTTTGCGAGGGCACGAGGCCTAGCCATGCGGGATCAGTAGCCATATCTGTGCTTGTAGACCTCTGCGGCTTGAAACCTTCTCCACAAATTAAAGTAGTTGGATTTTGCCGAAATATGTTTGAATTGTTACCTTGTTTCGTTTTGTCGCTGTGTGTACATCTGACTACACTTCTTAACGTTATGACAGGACAGACCGACTGTCAACAACGTCTGACCGTGGCCGTGACGTCTCATAGACTAGGGTTAGAGTAGCTTCCCTTTGACAAAGGGCAGTAACTCTAGCGGACAGACCTATGGATTGCCGCGAAAGGCAATTTAAAACAACTGTTGTTTTGCGTATATGCTGCTTCGCCACTGTATAAGAAACAGATTTCAGTTGGAACTATATTGGCTACTGTCACTGTCCGACTGACACATCACTTACCCTGTGACGTAATAAATATTAATGCGCGCATTCCAGGAAAACTCGCAATGTTTCGGTAATGTTTGTGAGAGCGGGAAGCGATTTTAAAGCACAGAATTAAAGAATGACATTATATGATGAAGAGGTTATCACGCTTGTGTGTTTGGGGATGGTAAATATCACAAGGTGTAGGTTGTCATCAGCGAAATACAGCCGAACCCCATTGCCTCAAAGTCGGATGAGTCGAATCCCCGATTGTGTGGAATACGCAGTCCGGTCGCGGCAAACGTCTACCAATATGTAACTCGTGTGTTTGGAAATGGATGTGTCGACTTCCCTGTTGTCTCAGGAGTTTCAAAAAAGTTAAAACTTTCCGTTATCAGTCGAACTTGAAAGTGTTGAAAAGTTCAACCTAGCACAACTTGGAGTTTGAAAAAAATGAACATGCATGCATTAATCGATAAATATGATAAATGCTTTGGTTTTCATTTCTTGTAATACAGGCGTTATTTATCTAACAAACGATGTGTTTGTTTTCTGATGTCTGGTGACTAAGTCAAACGGTAATAAGGTCGCGTCGGATATCTCAAAACCCGGATAAGTCGAACTATTTATCTGGTCAGCGGGAGTTCCAGATAATGAGGTATTATTATAAAACAAAATTAAACATATCTTTTGTTTCATGCATTACAGAATAGCATTATGAGGACCCAGACGATTATGATCATGGCGGTCGTGCTGGCATTTGCTTGCTTGTTGCAAATGGGTGAAGCAATACCAGGTGAGGTTTTACTTTGAACATCTCTGTTTATGTGTGTTTATGCGTGAAGTGAAAAAGCGAGATCTTTCGAAAAATAAAGTCAAATTCGTTGGCACGTGGTCCGGTTCACAACGCACAGGTCACATACAGATGAAGTTAAGAAACGTCCGTCTCGGAGAGCAGTTGGATGGGTGACCGCGTTCAAGAGCTTGACTCGTGAGAGTTTTCAGTAAAGGCTTCCTGTCACACACGGAAGCACATGTGGTGTCTCCTTTGGCAATGACCTTTTTCGAAATGTGCCTCTGTTCGCCCTGCACTGAATAGGTACCCGGTAGGATGAGATGGCAATGTGGTTGTTAACCTTCGAGCACCTCACAAGCAGCTTGGGTTGTATAGTCCCCAGGGAGCTGAGAATGAAAATTGAGTGCACACTGATCCATTGGTCGGCGTAATAATAGCATGAGCATCCACTTGGTAAATGGAATTGGGTGCATTATAAATGCACCTATTATTATCCATTGTCGGTATGTACTTATTCGGCGCGAATGCATATCACATAAGTTTGTATTTGAATCATACAGGCGATAGTATTCAATCAATTAATGAAAGCTGTACAGTACTGCTACCAGTTGACCAAATCTATGTTGTTCTGATCTGTTGGGCGAACATACCAGTTTTAAAGCCATATTATTTACGTGTCGATTATGGGTTTATCTATAGCCATGTCCCAATATGTAAAGGGATCGCCTTTTTTTCATCATTATGTAACATTATGTCATTACATATATATTTCTCGGGCACAGCCACTTCTCCTGCTGAACCTGAGGCTCCTGCTACAACTGAGGCTCCTGCTGCAACTGAGGCTCCTGCTGCAACTGAGGCTCCTGCAGCAACCGATGGCGGCGATGATGGCGGCGATGATGGCGGCGATGATGGCGGCGATGACGGCGGCGATGATGGCGACGATGACGACGGCGATGATGGCAGCGATGATGGCGGCGATGATGGCGGCGAGGATGAAGACGGAAACTGAGGCAGTGATAATGCCTAGTGATCCAATTCAATGGACATCACTGCTATATAACGTGGCGGACTCAGGTTTCTTATTGATTGGCTTAACACAACAGTGTCGTTCACGGTGGTTTAATTTAATCTGAAGGACATGAGTGAACACGACAAAGCGCACCAAATATCAACTTTTATTCGTGAAACAGCACACACTGTGCCTATTGTTACTGTTTACAAAAACATTTTTCGATATGATAAGAATTCTACCCTCACAAACACTGTCTATACATTGTTGTCTTCATATGGAAATAAACACCTGACCGTCTTCTTTGATTTGTCTATTGTATTTAATGAACAGGATCACCGGAAAGAATATTTTGGACTCAAATACAGATAAAGACCAACGACAAAATGATCAACTTCACTCCTTTCAGCCATTGAAATTTGGCTTGTATTGTAATACCTGGTTAGTAGCCAGTTCCTATATAAACTAGTTCAGGTAAACCCGTGTTGGGGAGTCGAGGTCTGGATGTCTGGAGGCCCATTTGGATGGTCTATTTATTTGACTTTACAAATAGTCGGCCTCCCTGGTCTAGTAAATACAGCGTCGGCCCAGAGAGGGGGAGTTTGGTGGTCTGATCCCCGGACATTTCATTACAAAAGACGTGACGCATGTTACAGCGGTATAACGTCTAGGTAATAACGACGAATACTTGTTTGGGGGTTCATGGGGTTTATTCTGTCTGTTCATATAAGGGATATGGAGATCCAAACACAATATGGCTATGGATGATAATTCCCCAAAACATAACATAATAAGGTTGGATTAGTAATATACAATTACAAGAATCTATAACATGTGTAATTAAACAAACATATTACATTTACTTGTTACTATGAGCATGAATTTAAGCATATATTATCAGAACGACCATCAGCCGTATATATATTACAGCTACAAATCCCATTTATATGATACAATACACATCAAAATATAATAATATATACATACAACTATTAACACATAAATACCAACCTCGTCTCAGGGACGCAGGCTCATCCCGTCAATGCCAACAGTATGGCTTTATATCTGCCTCTATGCCTAATAATGAAATGACACAATTAAGTAAACTGTATATAATACGCACACATACATGCTTTCTCTCTCTCACACACACACAGTAATATAAACCTAATATTTATATGTACTACATCAGTACATATTTACTGACACTTTCATAGAACTATGTACATAATCATCAACTAACTCATACAAGACTTAGTGTACTAAAATACTGTCCAATATATTATTACATTTATAGCTGTAAGCTATAAATTATTGCTAATGATAAATCTATTCTAATAGATACAGCTTCAAGCTATAATCTATATACATTACTGAAAGCACCTTATAACAATATGGTTGCTTAACATTAATTACACTATATTCTAATTGGTTACTCTAGCCATGACTTAATATCACAATGTACACTAATCTATCATGACTTTGAAGAATAAGTAATATATTTACATCATTGCGTATCATGTGGATCATACTGCAAATTATACTATATAAGAAATATGCAATTAAAATGATAAAATTGTACTCAACAAGAATAAAATATGAGATCCTAACCTCCTTATGATGAATATAGATACTAAAGAAGTCTAAATTAACTTACCCCAATCAGTGCAGTGCTGTGAATCATGCAGAGTTGTTATGTAGCAGTGACCAGAGAAGAGAAATATTGAAGTGTTTAAAGCTAAAAACCTGGTCACATGCTACAGAAACAAAAGGAAAATTTTAAAAGCAATCACTGGCCAAGCTGTGGCTGGACCAGATCACTTAAGACCTTACATAACTTTACCCCATACTGTACCTAAGGATTAGTAGAGAGTGTTCAGGTTAGTTTAAGGAGCTATTACCATACGTAACTCAATTATTAACCTAAGTTTAAAATACGTAAGTTAAAATACACACTATTTTACATTCTGCTACACGCACATTCGCACATACGCACATACGCACATACGCACGCCGGTAGTTTGATCCACTGACGTGTCATACCAAAAGATCTTACGCCCATAAGCAATCAGGCAGTCACGCACGCACTTATATAATTAATCACGCAGGTCGGGGGTTCGATCTCTGGACGCGTCATATTTATTATAAAATAGTTGCTTTTAACTCCAGTAGGCACAAAATATACCAGTATTCAGCCAGCCAGTATGTACTCATGCAGTCTTCAAGAGATTAATATACGTAGCTATGAGGAGAGTTATAACTGTTCTCATCACTGATCAGTCAGAGTAAATGTGCGGAGTTGTGCTTTACGCCATTTTTGAGCAGCATGTCATGCATATATACTCACCGTCAAAAGAAACGCGAATACCATATATATTGGCTAAGTTTCGAAGAATTACTCATATTCAAGCAATATTAGATTGATTCGATGGACAAACGAACATAATGTAATGCTGTGAGAACCGAGAACCATGATCGCATCACATAGATCCAAGACTCGAGATGTAAACAATTGTCTCGTGCAAGGTAAGCGTGTAAAGTTTGAAAATCACGTGCAGCATATCGTGATATGAATAAAGACACTGTGGTAACACTCAACTAATTTTTAGGTTTGTCATTAATAGATGCACATTGGAAACATCTTTTCTTAACCTACTTCTCTATAGGTTTCTATTGTTCGCGTTTCTTTTGGCGGTGAGGTATGCATCACGAGGTAACAGCTATTTCCGGAATTTAAGGAATTTCCCCTTCTACATTGGCGGATCACACGAGCACGGGTATGGTCACAATCAACAAATGATAATGATCAAGCCGAATCTAGGATTACACCGCACGATCACTGAGGATCATTGCACGTTTTAGCGGCGCAGTTAACACAACTGGGCCTTTGTGTTTTTTTGCGGATTACATACGTAGAGAGTTAAAAAAAACGAAATTACCAAATACCTTGACGGAGTATTGTCTTTTTAGACGATACTTGCAAAAGTAGTTATCGTCTGTCAATGGGGTTTCTGGGGGGAAATGCGGTGTCAGTTTTAACGAGTATTCACTGTAAAATGGCAAATGACTCACGGGTTAACCTCATTTCGTTTCGTTTTCTTAACGCCACAGACAATAGTACAGCTATATGACGGGGCCTTAACATATTTAGGTCAGACAATCTAGTGATTGATATTGTGAGCAAGGATCACGCCGTCGGGGTACAATAAAACGTCATAAACCAAGTAACCGAGCCTGGCGGTTCATCTGTACATGTTAGATAACCGGGTACACAACTGATGCCAAGAATTCGAAAAAAAACATAGAAAATGCCTTCAGTTGTCTACTCAAGGGATTAATTCCTGACATGGATGCATTCATTGTGCAGAGTAGAACCGAGAGCAACAGATGATTTATTGAACCGAAACAGGATGTTAGTCATAAAAAGCAAGTTACAGAAAATAAGTGTAGTCAATGTCGAGATCAAATGTCCTTTCATGCATTCAATAATGTATGCAATGTTGTTATTTTGTAGGATTTGCAGAAATAGACACATCCTTAGCTTTGCTCTATATCGATGTTTATTTTGTGGCTGAGATATCACTATAGCCGCGAAGTACCACATGATGGGTTATATGGTACATAGACACTGCCACCAAGTCATAACAGGCAATGAAAATATTTATAACGCACCGCTGCACTGGTAGGTTTAGGCCACGCCCCAAATAGGTTTGGTTTGTACTGTACCCTCACCTATTGTTCTGGATATAAGTGCAGTCACCATGATATATGCGAGACAATAGGGTATCTAAACAATAGTCTGTTACAGAATATCCAGTATAAGATTATTTTTATATACACGTGAGAGGGAGAATGCTGCAAGCTATCTAGTCCCTATACGATAATGCCAAGTGCTCAGATAGGATAGACCATTTACACACATCACGGTTCGGAGTCAACAGAGGTGTAAAACAGGGATGCTTATTGTCACCATTGCTGTTCCACTTGTATGTCTGTTAGAGACAATCAATACGTACACAGCCGTAGCAGTATTTTTTTTATATCTTATCGCTAAAACAAGGAAAGTATGAATATGATAATGATATTGGTCAAAACTGTTAACCCACATCCAAACTTTGACCTTTCACCATCACTCCTACCATTAAATAATTATTGTGAGAACAATTATTTGAAGAAGGCTGATCGTATAAACCGATAGCCGTGTTTGTGATACGATATAGAGGCGTGATGATACATAATGTCAGCAAGTTGTTAACCAAACCAGTTCTTGCACAACGTCTGTGTTCTTTGTGATGGTAATGAAAGGAGTGTACAATGTCTGTGTTGTTCTTTGTGATGGTAATGAAAGTTGTGTACATTGTCCGTGTTCTTTGTGATGGTAATGAAAGGAGTGTATAATGTCAGGGTTCTTTGTGATGGTAATGAATCGAGTGTACAATGTCTGTTTTGTTCTTTGTGATGGTAATGAAAGGAGTGTACAATGTCTGTTTTGTTCTTTGTGATGGTAATGCAAGGAGTGTACAATGTCCTTGTTGTTCTTTGTGATGGTAATGAAAGGTGTCTACATTGTCCGTGTTGTTCTTTGTGATGGTAATGAAAGGAGTGTACAATCTCAGTGTTCTTTGTGATGGTAATGAAAGGAGTGTACAATGTCTGTCTTCTTTGTGATGGTAATGAAAGGAGTGTACAATGTCAGTGTTGTTCTTTGAGATGGTAGTGAAAGGAGTGTACAATGTCTGTTTTGTTCTTTGTGATGGTTATGAAAGGAGTGTACAATGTCTGTGTTATTCTTTGTAATGGTAATGAAAGGAGTGTACAATGTCTGTGTTGTTCTTTGTAATGGTAATGAAAGGAGTGTACAATGTCTGTGTTATTCTTTGTAATGGTAATGAAAGGAGTGTACAATGTCTGTGTTGTTCTTTGTGATGGTAATGAAAGGAGTGTACAATGTCTGTGTTGTTCTTTGTGATGGTAATGAAAGGAGTGTACAATGTCTGTCTTCTTTGTGATGGTAATGAAAGGAGTGTACAATGTCAGTGTTGTTCTTTGAGATGGTAGTGAAAGGAGTGTACAATGTCTGTTTTGTTCTTTGTGATGGTTATGAAAGGAGTGTACAATATCTGTGTTATTCTTTGTAATTGTAATGAAAGGAGTGTACAATGTCTGTGTTGTTCTTTGTAATGGTAATGAAAGGAGTGTACAATGTCTGTGTTATTCTTTGTAATGGTAATGAAAGGAGTGTACAATGTCTGTGTTGTTCTTTGTGATGGTAATGAAAGGAGTGTACAATGTCTGTGTTGTTCTTTGTGATGGTAATGAAAGGAGTGTACAATTTCTGTTTTGTTCTTTGTGATGGCAATGAAAGGGGCGTACAATGTCGGTTTTGTTCTTTGTGATGGTAATGAAAGGAGTGTACAATGTCTGTGTTGTTCTTTGTGATGGTAATGAAAGGAGTGTACAATGTCTGTTTTGTTCTTTGAGATGGTAATGAAAATGAGTGTACAATGTCTGTTTTGTTCTTTGTGATGGTAATGAAAGGAGTGTACAATGTCTGTGTTGTTCTTTGTAATGGTAATGAAAGGAGTGTACAATGTCTGTGTTGTTCTTTGTGATGGACATGAAAGGAGTGTACAATGTCTGTTTTGTTCTTTGAGATGGTAATGAAAGGAGTGTACAATGTCTGTGTTGTTCTTTGTGATGGTAATGCAAGGAGTGTACAATGTCTGTGTTGTTCTTTGTAATGGTAATGAAAGGAGTGTACAATTTCTGTTTTGTTCTTTGTGATGGTAATGAAAGGGGCGTACAATGTCTGTTTTGTTCTTTGTGATGGTAATGAAAGGAGTGTACAATTTCTGTTTTGTTCTTTGTGATGGTAATGAAAGGAGTGTACAATGTCTGTGTTGTTCTTTGAGATGGTAATGAAAGGAGTGTACAATGTCTGTGCTGTTCTTTGTGATGGTAATGAAAGGAGTGTACAATGTCTGTGTTGTTCTTTGTGATGGTAATGAAAGGTGTGTACAATGTCCTTGTTGTTCTTTGTGATGGTAATGAAAGGAGTGTACAATGTCTGTGTTGTTCTTTGTGATGGTAATGAAAGGAGTGTACAATGTCTGTGTTGTTCTTTGTGATGGAAATGAAAGGAGTGTACAATGTCTATGTTGTTTTTTGTGCTGGTAATGAAAGGGGTGTACAATGTCTGTTTTGTTCTTTGTGATGGTAGTGAAAGGAGTGTACAATTTCTGTTTTGTTCTTTGTGATGGTAATGAAAGGTGTGTACAATTTCTGTTTTGTTCTTTGTGATGGTAATGAAAGGAGTGTACAATGTCTGTGTTGTTCTTTGTGATGGTAATGAAAGGAGTGTACAATGTCTGTTTTGTTCTTTGTGATGGTAGTGAAAGGAGTGTACAATTTCTGTTTTGTTCTTTGTGATGGTAATGAGGGTGTGTACAATTTCTGTTTTGTTCTTTGTGATGGTAATGAAAGGAGTGTACAATGTCTGTTTTGTTCTTTGTGATGGTAATGAAAGGTGTGTACAATTTCTGTTTTGTTCTTTGTGATGGTAATGAAAGGAGTGTACAATTTCTGTGTTGTTCTTTGAGATGGCAATGAAAGGGGCGTACAATGTCGGTTTTGTTCTTTGTGATGGTAATGAAAGGAGTGTACAATGTCTGTGTTGTTCTTTGTGATGGTAATGAAAGGAGTGTACAATGTCTGTTTTGTTCTTTGAGATGGTAATGAAAATGAGTGTACAATGTCTGTTTTGTTCTTTGTGATGGTAATGAAAGGAGTGTACAATGTCTGTGTTGTTCTTTGTAATGGTAATGAAAGGAGTGTACAATGTCTGTGTTGTTCTTTGTGATGGACATGAAAGGAGTGTACAATGTCTGTTTTGTTCTTTGAGATGGTAATGAAAGGAGTGTACAATGTCTGTGTTGTTCTTTGTGATGGTAATGCAAGGAGTGTACAATGTCTGTGTTGTTCTTTGTAATGGTAATGAAAGGAGTGTACAATTTCTGTTTTGTTCTTTGTGATGGTAATGAAAGGGGCGTACAATGTCTGTTTTGTTCTTTGTGATGGTAATGAAAGGAGTGTACAATTTCTGTTTTGTTCTTTGTGATGGTAATGAAAGGAGTGTACAATGTCTGTGTTGTTCTTTGTGATGGTAATGAAAGGAGTGTACAATGTCTGTGCTGTTCTTTGTGATGGTAATGAAAGGAGTGTACAATGTCTGTGTTGTTCTTTGTGATGGTAATGAAAGGTGTGTACAATGTCCTTGTTGTTCTTTGTGATGGTAATGAAAGGAGTGTACAATGTCTGTGTTGTTCTTTGTGATGGTAATGAAAGGAGTGTACAATGTCTGTGTTGTTCTTTGTGATGGAAATGAAAGGAGTGTACAATGTCTATGTTGTTTTTTGTGCTGGTAATGAAAGGGGTGTACAATGTCTGTTTTGTTCTTTGTGATGGTAGTGAAAGGAGTGTACAATTTCTGTTTTGTTCTTTGTGATGGTAATGAAAGGTGTGTACAATTTCTGTTTTGTTCTTTGTGATGGTAATGAAAGGAGTGTACAATGTCTGTGTTGTTCTTTGTGATGGTAATGAAAGGAGTGTACAATGTCTGTTTTGTTCTTTGTGATGGTAGTGAAAGGAGTGTACAATTTCTGTTTTGTTCTTTGTGATGGTAATGAGGGTGTGTACAATTTCTGTTTTGTTCTTTGTGATGGTAATGAAAGGAGTGTACAATGTCTGTTTTGTTCTTTGTGATGGTAATGAAAGGTGTGTACAATTTCTGTTTTGTTCTTTGTGATGGTAATGAAAGGAGTGTACAATTTCTGTTTTGTTCTTTGAGATGGCAATGAAAGGTGTGTACAATTTCTGTTTTGTTCTTTGTGATGGTAATGAAAGGAGTGTACAATGTCTGTTTTGTTCTTTGTGATGGTAATGAAAGGTGTGTACAATTTCTGTTTTGTTCTTTGTGATGGTAATGAAAGGAGTGTACAATTTCTGTTTTGTTCTTTGTGATGGTAATGAAAGGTGTGTACAATTTCTGTTTTGTTCTTTGTGATGGTAATGAAAGGAGTGTACAATGTCTGTGTTGTTCTTTGTGATGGTAATGAAAGGAGTGTACAATGTCTGTTTTGTTCTTTGTGATGGTAATGAAAGGAGTGTACAATTTCTGTTTTGTTCTTTGTGATGGTAATGAAAGGTGTGTACAATGTCCTTGTTGTTCTTTGTGATGGTAATGAAAGGAGTGTACAATTTCTGTTTTGTTCTTTGTGATGGTAATGAAAGGAGTGTACAATGTACTCGCTATATTAAAGATGAAATGTGTGTGTACACATGCCTCGGACATGGAGGTCATGTCCGGTTTAATGCGTGTGTAACATACACGTACAGATATTGTAGTCAGGATGATGACAATGTCAACCCAGACCGCCCACATCCATAATCTGATGCAACCAAATCGATGGTACAGGAAAACAACGCCAACACATCGTGCTTCGACCAACATCAAATCTACAAATCTTCTTTAGTCCGGTTGGTAATTTCATCGACCACCTTTTACATATTTTGAAATATTTGGTTTTTAAAAGGCATACACTTGATAGAAATGTGACATGCTACAACGTGTATAACCTTTTGCAAATGGCAACTGAAGTAATAATTGCAAACGTATATCAACTAAACGAACCTCATCAGTCAGCAAAAGCGACATGTACACCTTGTTTTATCGCAAAGTCACATTATGTATTACATCTATATTGATCTGTGAATCTGAATGAGAACTAGCCCTTGCTCCTACCAAATGAAAATTTTAATCTTCTAATAGAATCCAGAATAACAGTGTGACTATACTTATTGACAAGGACAGAACATTCCCCTAGAGAAACCATCTGTTTTCTAAGATAATTTGTTAATGTGTAAATATTAGACTATTCAATATAAAAGTCTGTACGATCTGTACTTTGTAAACGCTTTATACTTATCATTATTTTGGCAAGTATATTTTGCCGGCGACAGATATGTTGAAAAGTACACAATAATTATCATTATTATGAAGACCTCTAAAGTTTTCGTCTTTTTCAAATTTATCAAATCTAGTGATCACCCCTCGTTGGCATCCCTCCTCCACATTGTATGTAACATGTAGATAACAAGTATTGTATGTTATATAGTGTCTTGCACGTGTAACATGATCCTTATTGACGAACTTCTATAACTTTTATCAAGCTAAAGCAGTATATTTCAACACGGATATAACTTTAAAAAGACAAAATAACATTTTAAAAAAACACCATCTGCGTTTTCGGAAATAACAATGAACTTGTAAAAACAATAACCGTATTGTTATTGCGCAGAATATGTAATGCATAGTTATGCATAGTTAAACATTTCAAAACTGAATTCAATAATACTCGTACATATGCTATAAAATATGATTTATTAGAGAAACTACCATATAAAATCTTCGAAAAATTATCATTGTGGTAGGGTTATGGTCAATTCTGGTGCAGTTCTTAAATCACAGTATAATTCAATATAATCGATCCCCTGCACGTTAAACATCAGATATCAATCTTGAGTTATTCCTCTTTTAAAAACTAAACAGCTTTAAGTGTTCAATTGAATATGTGAAACTGCATGATTAACAGTCCGAGTAAAGGTCTTATTACAGACGTCAGTATTCCCTGCTGTCAACAATGTCTCCACGCATAATCACACATGTTGCCGAGTTCTTGCACAAAACAACGCACCAATCACAGTGACTTTTAGGACCCCATAACGAGGCAATGTAGACGTGTATGTAGCACGTATGTTCTCCATCTCCTGCACCGTCAGAGGTCACATCCAGTCAGACCACCTTATTCAAATCCACAGAGGTCAATGAAACAGGTATATAAATACCGTTAGATTAATGAAGTTGCATTGTATTGTTGAAGTGGCTACGAATTTCATCTAGCGTAAGTTGAACTTTCTTTACTTTACTTTTATTCTTCTGCTAATTGTTTGTGTTGTTTTGTTTGTAATCTGTGACATTTGGCTCATTTTATACCTCTTTACCGAAAAGTGCAAACATAGTTTCTCAATAATTGACGATGTAAATATATTTTCTTCACCAAATTTCTGTTTACTTTTGTGAAGGTACTTTTGGTCTGTTTTAGGGTTAATGCGTTTGTGTTTCACATGGAGGAACCTGGTTCGATTCCTTAAATAGGCATAACATAACATGGCAACTGATATTACTGAATATAAACAAGACAAAGGGAATACATTATGATCATGGATGAATAAATATTCCTAAATAGTCATTATGCAACAAACTATTTCGAAGGCCTCCGTGGTCAAGTAGTAGAGCGTCCGCCTTGAAGCGAAGGGTCGGTCCCCGGCCGCGTCGTACAAAAAGACATTTAAAAACCGTACGCCCTGTCTGGCGCTCGGCATTAAGGGGCTAAAACAAGGACTGGTCGGCTCGGAGTCGGTATGCTGTTTCTCAGTGGGGTATTCATGTTAAACTGAGGCATGGTATCTCAGTGGGCAAGTACTGTACAATCGGCATCAGTCCGGACTAGAACAAGCAGCACACACAAACACACGTGCAGGCACGTCGCTACATAATGCAACACTCTTGAACGCGACGTTAAACCCCATTTCACCTCACCAACAAATTATTTCACTGTATTTCCAAATATAGTTTTACAACTTATTAGTCGACCGCCAATTGACGGTTGACATCCACTAATAACTTGGTTTCAATTCGTTAACAAAGACGTTCTCATTCATAACTTTTAACTAAGGTCAATTAAAGTTAAATGAGAAGCGTACACGGGTACAAATGTGCTTGCATTATTTGAATGAGGAACACCACGTTCTTCGATCCGTCTTACCCATTTCAAGATAAAAACATATATGTGTCGAATAGGCCCCCAGCAACCAGAGACTTGTTCGGGTGGTCAGGCACGGTGATGTGCATGTCATCGTATCATAAATTTCCCAGATGCTCATAATATAAATCACTACTTTGTCTTGTCCAGAATCGACAACAAACAAAAACATTATTGTCTCCAGATTAACTCCGTATTTCCATATGTATGAGTATATTTCAATACAATGTTAATGGTTGATAATGATCAGTCAAAATTCAGGCTTATCTTAAATACCCCCTATTACGTTTCCATCAATATTTAACAATATATTTCAATGGCTGCCATATGCTCTATAATCAATATGTCTAACATTAATTTTCGTGTATATCAATCAATACAACATATAGGTGATATAACCGAATTTAAAGACACGATCGATGTCTTTTGTGCACGCATACATTAACATTTATTGATTGGTCACGTTTCTAATCATCAATAAACAAACATGTTACTGTCGTAGAATTACACGTATGGTATCCATGGCCGTTGGAATTTAACCTCGTTCAACTTTGTGTGAGAACCTAAGAAGGCGAAATAATTTATATCGACCTCAGTGCATTTAGCACGGTCTGGATAATAGCATTTCTTAACACTAGTTGTCAGTTTCTATAGGTATTGATTGAGTGGGAAATTATCATTCTGACGCGGGTGTATTTCATCAGGAATAGGAACGATTAATGCCAAGCACGTACATGTAGGTACTCAGCTGAAGTCAAAACTGTTCATATTAATCTGTCTGTATGACACCGTCTCTCTCTCTCTCATCAGTATTTTACTCATAAGGCTGTATCATTGTTCAGTAATTATTTTCCCCCATCTAATCGCCTATTACTTCTTATTTTGTATCATAACATTTGTGCATGCATTGTTCATACGTGTATCCACCATCTATAGTAGCTGTAAATGTAGTTTGATATTTCATTATTACGTTTTACAGTTAACACATCTTGACATATAAGTCCAGCAGAGATGACGAGGTGCACCATTACTAGCTTAGAATTGTGCAAAGAAATATTATGAATATTGGCTGGTGCAAACTTCCAAGTGTTGAGATAGTCCTACAAGTACATTATCAGTCGTCCTTGGCGAGACCGTCATTAGGAGTATATACGCTTGAAGGGGAACTAAGTTTAGACAAAGAGGCAGACCTACAGTTTTCTTTCATACACTACTTCGTTGTTTTAAAAGTCTTCCGTTAATACGATAACAGTTAGTGATACTTCAATTACAAGAGGCAATAGCTTCGTTGGACGCAAGGCACTAGCTACAACGTCCAGAACTACTCTGAAAGCGTTCCACACCATGGACACCGACACTGTCAGATGCTTAATAGTTATTTAGTCATGAGGTAGGGTTATACTGATTATCACAAGGTAGCGGTGTGTATCACCTAAATACAATCGAATCCCATTGTCTTAAACTCTGATGTGTTGAATTCCCGGTTGTGTCCGCTCCCGGCAGACGCTTACTATTTTCACCCCTATTTGAACCCAGATGAGTCGAATTGGATGTGTCAAATTTCCGGTTGTCTCGAACTCAATTTACAGTCGCAGAAGTTAAAAAATGTGTATAGATTTACCCTTATTAGTCCAACTCAAAAGTGTTGAAAAGCACAAGTTGGAGCGTCTACAATTTGGAAAACATGTATATCAATGTAATATGTTTCTGTTATTATAACTTATTATATAAATGTTATTTACTTAACATGTACGATGAGGTATGTTGGCTCCCTGCTGTTAGATGGCCGGGTGTGGAACCCCTTATAAGTCGAACTGTGTGTGTTGTCCGAGGTTGTGTCGGACATTCGTGTATTATTTTGAAAACAAAATTAAACATATCTTTCGTTTCATGCATTACAGAAGAGCCTAAAGAACACTCACTATGAGGACACAGACGATTGTGATCATGGCGGTAGTGCTAGTATTTGCCTGCCTGTGGCAAATGGGTGACGCCCAGCCAAGTGAGTTTATAGTAGTTTTAGACATCTCCAATCAAACGTGTTTATGTGTAAATTGAAGAAACAAGATTCGTCGGTATGCATGACTGTTTGTTTGAAACCTGCTTGATTCTATATTATGACTCTTTCAACATGTGTTGCCTGTCAGGTTAATGTCATTTTTGGGTGGAGGGGTAGCTTGTCTGGTCTAATCTATGACGACGAACGTGCCATATTTAAAGTATATTGTTTACGTGTCAATAAAGGGTGTATTAATAACCATATCCAATACGTTATTGTTTCATCGTTATGGAACATAAATTTCATTAAATATATCTTTCTCAGCCGCAGCTGCCCCTACCTCTAAAGCCCCTGCTCCACCTGCTGCTGTTGCTGCTGATGCCGCAGCTGGCGATGATGAAGGCGATGACGATGATGGCGGTGATGATGATGACGGCGGTGATGATGATGACGGCGATGATGATGATGAGTAGTGATCCAATTCAATGGTCATCATTCCTAAATAACATGGCGACACAGGTTTCAAGTATATTGGCTTCCCATTAACACAACACCGTGGTTCTACTTAATCTGAAGGACATGAGTGAATACGATAAAGCGTACCTCAGCTCTTATTTGTGAAACAGCACATATCGTGCCAATTGTCACTGTTTACAAAGACATGTTTCGATATGTTTAGAATTCTATCCTCCCATACGCTGTCTATACATTGTTGTCTTCATATGGAAATAAACACCTGACCGTCTTCTTTGTTTTGTCCACTTTGTTCAATGAGCGGGATTATCAGAAAGAATATGTTGGACTCAAATATAAGTAACTTTTAATTATTTCATGCGAGTTGTTTATCGTACAGTAAAACACTGGAATAAACCATTTCATATCGCTCCCTCTTTTGGATGCGATCGTTCGGTCACTGCGTTTATCTGCCTAGCCCAGCTGCAGCTATGGGGAACAACTTACTAAACACTTCCATGTAGAAAATTAACGTCGTCAAACATATGGCGTCATCTAGTTGCACAGCCCCTCATTATTCACCCTGCAGTCTTTTATTGTACGATACACAACGGCCACGAGTCGATTATTTCTTAGATGAGATATCAATATAATGTAGAGAGTCTTTACGGACGTTATTGAAATGAACAAGGTTTAAAAATGTTTACGCGTATGTAATTAATGATGTCTCGCTGATCATGAATAGAATCAGACCTAGGACAGTGTAGGACAAGTCCATTTTACGAACAGGTTGGTTAGGTTTGGTATTTCCCGCATATTCTAACAATCCTCACGTCGATTATCTGTACCTTTTTTCCTAATACCGATCCACTTTTGGCCGCGGTCGTTCGGCCACTGCATGCGTTTATCTGCGTAACGCAGCCACCTCTATGGGGAACACCTAACTAGACACTTCCATCTCAAAATCAACGTCGTCCAATAAATGGCGTCATCAAGTGGCGAGCGCATATTCGAATCTCAAGAAATGACGTCATGATAGGACAATGTCTTATCGTGACATAAACCATGCTTCGTTCCCAACTGTTCTTTGCGATTAAGGGCGAAGCTATCTTATATCATATAATAGATAAATACCAACTCTTTCAACCACTGGAGTTGGTATTTATGGGCACCCAACTAAATTACCAAATATCAGAAGATCATGGCAGATTTAAGTGATTGATTGATTGATTGTTGTTTTACGCCGCACTCAGCAGTATTCCAGCTATATGACGGTGGTCTGTAAATAATCGAGTCTGGGCCAGACAATCCTGTGATTAATATCATGAGCATCGATCCACACAATTGGGATCGATGACATGCATCAACCAAGTCAGCAAGCCTGACCACCCGATCCCGTTAGTCGCCTCTTGCGACGAGCATAGTCGCCTTTCACAGCAAGCTTGGGTTGCTGAAGACCTATTTTACCCCGGATATTCACGGGCCTGGCAGGCTTAAGATACGCAGTTTACTCTACCGGACCATTGCATGGTGGATTACATACATATAAAGTAAAATCCCGTTTATACGAACGGCACCATGCCCTACTTAATTACCAAATATCCGAAATAAGAAATTATTAGGTCGGATTGAAGTGATTTGTGCTTATCGGCCGCTTTTAACAATATTCCAGTTATATCATGATCACGACGTGTCAGCTTAATGAGTGGGGAAAGCAGGTTTTAGACGTTTACCACTTCGGTAAAACCCACGAGCACGAGTATGGCGTTCGATTGGGTTAAGATCTGGAGATCCCGTCGGCCAGGGCAAGCCGTTGCTGTTCGCATTATGGAGATAGTCTACCGTGACACGAGCTGTGTGCGGTGGAATGTTGTCCTGTTGAAACAGCTACCCCTGAGGGTCAATGATTAGAAGAAGGTGAGGTTGAAGAATTTGATTCATGTGGCGATTTGCTGTCAAATTACCCTGATCCACAACCAAGTCAGATCTCGTGGGGTAGGATATGGTCCTCCGCACCATGACGAAATTGTCGAATTCACGTTCACAATGTGGGGCAAAACGCTCATTTCGACGACGATAAACACGTTGTCTTCCATCTCGTCAGTGAAGAAGAAATCGTGATTCATCGCTAAACCACATTCGTCTCCAGTTTCTCAAATTCCAAGGCTGTAAGGTATAGCACCAACGCAAGCGTCGCTATCGATGGATCTCTTGCAAAACAGGGACGATCACTGATATTCTGGGTCGGATTCCGACCTCGCGAAGATGGTTCCTGACAGTCTGGTCCGACATCCTCCTCAAACCAGGGATGCGTCCTTCAGTCTCCGTAGCCGTTGCATTGCGATGGCGTAGATGGAACAGTCGAATGTAGCGAACCTGTGCAGGGGTGGTAACTCTTAGTCGGCCGGTTCTCGGACGGCCTGCAGTGGAATTGAACTATGTGTATCGGTCACAAAGGGGGAAAATGGTGATGTGGTGGACGTTGAAGTGGCGTGCAATAGAACACAAGATTCCCTTCTTTGGATATGTCCTATGGCGATGTTCCGATCGGCAGCACTGAGTCTCGGCATTATCGAACTTGAAAAATGTTGACAAGTGAATGACAAATTATTGGCATATGCTTGCCTTTTTATAGCCACTACCACGAGTTACGAATACCATAATATGCACGTGCATTTTGCTTTACTGCGTTTCTTTTTTGGAAAAGTGTACAAGAACAAGTAATGAATTACATACGGATTATACATTGACGAATGATTGTAAGTGTGATCAGCCAGTTAGCATTGTTTGCGTTGTCCAAATAATATATTTGTAAGTAATCTTGCAGATTTAGACTTAAGGCCGTGTACATGCTCGTATGAATTAGAAATGACAATTTTAATGAGCATTATAAATGCATATATGATGCAATTGAAAGTTATGCATATACAATGGTATATGGTTCCCTTCAAATATGCAGATAGAGTAAAATAAATCTCTTCATCTTAAAGTCACAGAAACGACCTTCGAGAACGCCAATAGCCCGAAACCTCAATCCTTGAACAATAGGAATGGAGGGTTATCTCTCAAAACTTCTACATGCCCAAACGGTTCGTTCCCAGTTAGTTCCAAATCCCCCATTTTAGCTTAAATGCACAGGTGGTACAGGGCTGAACAATGGGGGATTACAGTATAGTCTGTTCAGTCTTCTGACAATTGCAGACACCAGACATAGTTTGTATGAAAAAAAACGAAACGTATTTTATTTTTACATATAGATTCATTTCTACAAAATTTATAAAAGTTTCCAGATGCATAAAAACACATGGCACTCACAGGACACTGGGTTACATATATTTAAAGTAGTCTGGAACTTTATTGGAGGCACCATGTTGATAAAACTTCTGTCGCTACTGGCCCTCAAGCTGGATCTCAGAACGGCATTATAATGAAGCCTATTGACAAGGCATCTTAGATTTTCATTATATTATAAATATAAATGGTATTATAATAATATTCTTTTCTTTTAGTTCAGCTTTATAGCCAGTGATAATAAAACTTAAATAAACGGAGTGAGGTGGTATCGCCATATTTGATCAAACACAGTTTTATAAGAAGGACATTATGAAACACAGTTCTTACCAGAAACCTCTTCCTGGAATATTCTTGTAACTGGAATCACTCCTTCTCTAGCACGCTTCTTCATGTCATGTCTTAGAAGACCCTAATGTCTACTTGATGGTTGTGGAGGTTCTTAATTATAAACGTAACTGGAATGTCATTCTTAGTGTTCAGAGTAGTTGGACAACCAGTGGTATGATTTAGATATCTCCAATATGTCGTGTTGTTGTGGCTGTCTTTTTGGTATACTGTAATGTCTTAGAGGTCGCCTTCTGCCTCGGCAATTTCGGCCGACCTGTCCCTCTTTGGGACTTGTGTGTAAATAGGGTATACATGTCTATTGCTAGTTATAGTATTCAAAGAATCTCTGTTTTTGTATCGATGTGACTTCTATTTTCGTATATTATCATTTTTATCTGTGGCTGCTCTGTTCATATGTGTTCGAATTCTCAGAGTTAGCCTGGTCTTCGCTATTGCATCTCTTGGCTTTAGGAGATATACGACAGATAGCGGATCTAACTTGTTTTAATCGATCCGGGCTGGGGCATGGTCTTGACATTCCAGTAACAAGTGATCAATGGATTCAGGTTGATTGCAAGATAAACAAACCTTGTCATGGTGCTTTATGTGACCGCGTCTGAGGCGTGAGATGGCTATTTCAACTTTCCTTTCATTTTAGTATGAGAATGGCTTTTGGTGGATCTTGGGTTGAAATATGCATAGTTGTCCTGCGTCTCACTGGGCTTGCCATCTTTAGGCTTTGATTTTGCCTTTTATCTCTAGTTTACTAAAGGGGATAGGCTGTATCTCCGCTTTGTCTAGAGCTGGCTTCGCTAGTGTGTCTACTTTTTCACTTCCATAAATATATATGTGAGACGGTATCCAACAAAGCTCCATCTGTTGTCCTTGTTCCGATTCGTATAGAATTCGTATAGAATATTATTGACTGTGTTTGGCCTGGAGTTTGAGATTCTGTCGCTGATGGCTTGAAGTTCACTCAGCAAGTCTGATAGCATGTCCTGTAATACTGCGGCTAGTGTGGTTGCCAGTTTCAAGGTGATGCATGGGCCTTTTTGAAACCGTGGCTTCCATTGCTTTTGCACATGTTTGAAGTGAGTGAGATCGGCCGACAAAAGTTTGGTAGGACTTCGTCTTTCCCTTTGCTTCAGAAGCGGGATAACTGCAGCATGTTTCCATAATTTTGGGACTTCTCCTTTGGACCATAGCGTGTTGTACAACTCAGAGAGTAACTCAGTGAACAACTTTGCTTGATCAGTTAGGTTTTTCAATATCTCGTTACTGGTTGTGTGAGGTGCAGTGCCAGTTCTATGTTGTATTGCATCATCAAACTCTGTCTCAGTAAATGGTATATTGTATACCAGATGCCAGTTTTTGATATCTTAGGCACAAGCTTTTTTTCATGTTTGAATTCTTCTCTGCAATTTCTGAGGCTGCTGACAGATGAATCATTCCTGTCTTCTCATAAAGGACTGTGGGCATTAAAGTTACCAGTGATTATCCCATTTTTGCCTACTATTTGATCTAGTCCCGTCAGATCATCCGTGTTTGCTTTATGGGTAACCCTGTGATATATGTTAGCTAATTGTAATTCATTGCCATTTGCCAATTTCAGGGAGATTACTTGGGTTTCAAGGTTCACTATGTGATTGCATATTTTTGGAGGAACAGCTGTCG